CGTTCTCGTCCTCGTCCACGTCCTGGTCGTCGTGGTCCCTCCTCCATCTCGTTCTCATTCTCGGCCGGCTGTCTATCTGTTTGTGTCTGTGGCATGCACCCCTCTACCTGATCCCCAACTGCTCAATCTAAAGCAGAGCATACACCCCCGCCCAGATGGCATAGCCCACCTCCCCCAAACCATCCCATACCATATCCTATATCCTACACATCGCATATCCCCCACGATTCGTTTCCCAATCAGACAGCCAGCGGCGTCGTTAGCAACGCAACGAAACGCGACTCGGAGAGTTCGCCTGCATTTCCAAGTTCGGTGTGTGGATTTGAACCGACTGCAACCCCGATGGTCAGCGAGGACTTCCACTGTCCACTGTCCACTGTCCCCTGTCCACCTCCACGCCCGCTTTTAAGCCCTTTTTCATTGCCTTTTGCACCGAGCCCTCGGGGGGTTTTATTGCGCTAGGCATTTTTGCATATTTGAGGCATCATCGCTCATCGCTTTTGTGTGTAAGCCAACTTTTAGACATGGTCGAAGGTAGGAACAACAACTGCCGCAGCTGGAGCTGGAGCAGGAACTGGAGAAGGAGCTGCCGCAGCTGAGGAAGAAGAATCCGCAAAGGCCTAACCCTTGTGCCACGCCCCCCATCCCCAACGCCACCCACGTCCTTTGGCTCGCCCATTTTCTGCATTCTCTAAGCTGCAACGTCGCCGTTGTCGCCGTTGCACTCTTCTATTTGCGTTTTAATATGCAACATTTTTTCCCGCTGATCTCCCCGCTGGCTGTACGACAGCCCCTGCCTGCTGTTCCTTGAACCCCCCCCTTGTTTTCGTTTGGTCACCTCCATGGTGGCACACAGGGGCACTGGGAGAAAAATGGAGTTTAAATTTAAAGAATATTTTATAAAGAAATCTGTAGAGTTTATTATTTAAGGAGCCAGAAAAATAGTTTCTATGAGGTTCCACAAAATTGTAATATTTCTACGATCAATGTGAAATTGCAAATTAAATATTAAAGGCCAAAACATGTATTAATTTTAATAAAAGCCTTAAATAAAATTAAATAAATAAAACCCACCAGATAGTCGTCTACGTAAAATTTATAAGAGAAAGAAATACTGCAAGGATCTATTTGCTAAAGCTTGATTTTTCCCACAATAAAAGCTTGTAAAGTTAAGTGATTTAATCCTCAATCTTAAAATCTTACCTCAAGACCAAGTTATGAATAAATATTTTCGCTCAGTGCCCTCACACTCGCGGCAACCGTTTTATTTGTTTGTTTGCCTGTTCGTTCACTCATGTGTGTGGGTCAGACGGCGACCTCTCACCCCGTGCCGCAACTTTGTCTGTTTGGCTCAAATGTTGTCATCTTTCCCCGCACACTAGCACACACACCCACACACACATACACTCGCACACTCCGGTACACCCACGGTCGCCATCTCCCTTTGCTTTTCGCAGAGGCTTTCGTCGCTTTTTTTGGACATCGTGCGTCCACATCCACATCCCAGCCCATGTCCTCCACGAACTCCTCTGCGCCCTGCGTCCATCTCCAATGTCCTTTCACGTCCGCGTCATCGTTTTGCTCGTCAGCGTCGTCGTCACCAGTTAAATACATAAATTTTCGTATAAACGCGTTCCGCAGTCGCGAGCCTAGCAGCCATTGCCCATTTTCCACATTTTCCCCAGCAAGCAAGACCAACAACAAACAACTTAGAGAATGCGTGATGCATTTTCCTGTTTCTGCGCTAGATCCAAAATTTTGTTTGCTGCAATTCATTTGCTGCCATAACCCCAAGAACTGTGCAACTGGATCCTATTTTGAAAAGAAGATTAAACTGTTTTTGTAGATAAAACAATTTATAATTGAGTTTAAAAAATTAAAATTAAAATAAAATCATTCGATGAAGCTCTTATTATAGGTACTTTTTTTCTTAATTTTAAAAGAAACATTTTATATAATTAATAATAATATATTTTTAGAATAATTGTTTATGAATTATAAAAGTAACTCTTGAAAATATATACCATGTAAATATAGTTTATAAAAATTCCTTTCGAACGGCAGATCTTTACGAACCCCTAAAATCATTGCTATTGAAAGTATTTTAAGAACTGAGATACAAAAGTATCTTATGATTTATATTTAAGCATAATTCATGGCAGATCTCATAAAAACTCATTAAAATAATGGAATTCCTAGGTATATTGATTAGATCACTAAGAATTTTATTTTATGTACAGAAATATTTAGCAAATTATATATTCAATTCATCAAGTAACCTAAAAAGTATCTGAGGGATCGAAAAATTTTCAGAATTCTGTATTTGATATTTTCTTGTTCCCCAATATTTATCTAAGTAATATCAAGCAGACCAGTGTAAGATATAAATACAATAATAATCCATATTAAAAGTATCTGTGACCATTAAACCACCTGAAATTAATTAAAATTGGGAAATATGAATAGCAAAATGTTTATTTAGGTTACTTCTGTCTTAAAAATAGTTTCTTTTGTATAATAAAATATTTAAATTAACAAAAATTTAACCCGGTAACATTAATTAACACCTAAATTAAAGGCAAATCATTAAGGTAACTCGAAGGCCTAATTGTCTATTCAGACACAACTATTTCGAGGGCTATTAATAAGCCAAAGTATCACTTAGCCATCGTCGAATACCGGAAAGGGGCGAATAAGACCCATTAAAATTCGCATTTGCGTATCGCCAGGTGAATATTGAATGCTGAATGCTGAATTACTGAATTACTGCACTGATCAGAGACGATCGTCGATGCCCCTTCTTCAACTGTTTTTGTTGCCTTTTCGCAGTGCCAATTCATGGCCGATGTTTATTGTGCGGTAATTATTTGTAACCAACTGAAAACTGCAAAGGGGGAATGCCAAACAGCCGCCATTTGCCAGTCACGAAAAAAATTATGCATAATTTATGACTGGCTTGCGAGGTGGCCTCTCGCTCGCACGCTCACCTTGACGCTACCTTCGTCTCGCTCGCTCACGCCCGTTCTCCCGTGCGAATTTTATTTTTCGCTAGATTTGTATTACTTTATTTTATGCATATTATAAATGCGCAAGGCAACAACAAATAATCAAAATGCACAAACACACACGCACGTACACTCACACACACACACACACACACACACACACACAGAGATGAAATCGAGGCTGACCAGTCTCAGGCGATAGTTGCCATCGCCGCCGCCCCGCGCCATCACCCATCCGCCCCTTTGTCAAGAGCGAGAAAAAAGAAGAAAAATAGTTGCTGCTGGCCCCCAAAAGTGCAGGTGCAGCAATGCCGTTTGCGGGCAAAGAAAGAGAAACATCTCTTAAGCCCCAAAGAGACGGCAGGGACAGCGAGAGCATGAGAGAGCGGAGCGGAGATTCAATTCGCCGCACATCTTGTTTTTCGCCTAAGCATTTGTTTACAATGCACGAAGCGGCAGCGACGCTGACTGCGCTGCCACCGACGATAACGCGCTGTTGCCGAGAGCGCCGCACGAAGAGAGCTATAGCTGACTTCGTAGTGGGGATTTTGTTGGTGTTGGAGCTTGTGGGGGCGTGGGGGGAGGGCTTAGGTACCCCTAACGGAACTAATTAATGAAGCATCTTTCAGCCGAGTTTTATTCCTCACAAGTGTGCGTGAGATGCGAAAGAAGGAGAGGGAGAGTGATAGTTCGCGAGAGCAGATAGATATTTTTGAGGGATTTCGAGAAGATCACTGCACTAAATATACATTAAAATTTTTCATAAAAATCATAAATTAATTTACAATAATTTCAAAAATTCTTAAACAATCGAAATATTTTAATAATATTTGTTTGTCAAGATATTTTGAAGTATTTAATTGTATTTTTGGAATTTAGATAAATCTATTTATTTTTTTATTTTATAAAATACAATACATTGTAAAATATCTAAAAAAAATATCTAACAGATAATATTTTTAAGGAAAATCTCTAAATCCTTACCAGCTAATAAATATTTGAAAGAATCTTCAAATTGATTCTAAGTTCCTTTATTTTCAATATCCCAATAAAAAAAAGTCACCACTTGCGATAGATAAGCCTCTCGAAATCGTGCCCGAGCCACTTGCCAATATCGGCCGTATTTTCGCTGCCTCTTTGGCTCGACAAGCCCCCCAATTTTTGGCAAGGAGTACTGGTCGGCGGTGTGTGGCCCCACATACTCTCCCTCTACAGCCCACCCAGCTCCTCCGAGTCCGAAAAACACTAGGCCTAAACTAAGCTCGCTCGCTCTTCGCCTGCAACGCAGTCGGCGCCTCTGCATTTTCGGGCCAACTTCCGTTTCCTCGCACGCACACACACGTGTGGGTGCCTGCCTCTTGCAACTTGCGTCGCATCCTGTTCGGTGTTGCGCCAAAAATGCCCATTTTGGGGGTTGCAACGAGAGGCCGAGAACGAGGACGAGTGCGAGTGCGAGTAAAAGCCGAAGAGCGCAACGCAACGCAACGGAATGCGGCCGTAACGTTTACCGTTAGCCGGCGTTTTTTGGCGCCCAACGCTGCCTGCCTCTCAGTCGCCACCGCCTCTGTCTCTGTTCTGTCTCTGCTTTTGCCTCTGCCTCGGTCGCTTGTCTCTGTCTCTTGCCTCTATCTCTTTCTCTGTCGCTTTTCCTTTTGCGACGCCGGCAGCGGCGGAGAAGCTCGCAATTCGCGAACTATTCGCAACTTCGTCGCGAACTCAGTCGCCGCCTGAGAGCAACAACTACAACAACTACTGCACCAGCAGCAGCAGCAGCAGCAGCAGGCAGGCAGGCAGGCAGCAGTAGCAGTGGCAACATCCACATCACACAGCCATAGCCACAGCCCGACCCCTCAGTTTTCCCACACAGCGCCATCGTCGTGGCCATCGCCTCGCCATCGCCGTCGTCGTCGTGTGTTAAGTTTGTTTTGAGTTTTTCCGTATCAAAATGTGCAAAACGATTTCAGTCTAATTCAGACGCTCGTGCTGAGAAGACTTTTGGCCCTGTTTGTTGGCCAATAACCATACTCATACAGAACAGAACGGAACAGAACACGACGACGAGGCGACCGAAGCGAAGCGAGGCGAACGAGACGAACTGCAACTGCAACTGAAACTAAAAGAACGTAACGTAACGTACCGAGGCGAGCTAATTGCCAAATGGCCACGTAGTGCGCGAAACGTAACGTGAACGTGAACGTAAACGTAACGAACACCTATACCAACACACAAACACTCACACACACACACTCTTACACATGTACATGCCCACTCTCAGTTGAGAGTCGTAATTGTCGCGGTTTCTCGTTTATCGCTTGGCCATTTTTTTGTATCGCTATGTAAAGCGAGTCGCGTTCAACGATTGACGATTAACGATCAACGGGTAACGATCAGCGAGTAGCGAGCAACGATCAGCGATCCGCGCACAAAATGGCGTCGGCGCAGGCGGAAACGGATGTGGTAGTGGCGCCCGAGCAGGCACAAGTGACGCAAAGGCAGCGCAGCGGTGGCACAGGCAAAGGAGCCAGTTCCGGGACAGGATCGCCGAAGAGTAATCGCAGTTCGCCGGGCCAGGAGGAGAAGAACATCAAGACGGAGGATCGCACTTCCCCAGGAGCAGGAGGAACCTCTAAGGACGATGAAAAGGACTCGACAGGCGGCGGCCTGGGAGGATCCTCACCCGTGAGCTCGCCCCAGGGTCGGAGCTCCTCGGTCGCCTCGCCCAGCTCCAGTTCGCAACAGTTCTGCCTGCGCTGGAACAACTACCAGTCCAACCTGACCACCATCTTCGATCAGCTACTGCAGAACGAGTGCTTCGTGGACGTGACCCTGGCCTGCGACGGTCGCTCCATGAAGGCCCACAAAATGGTGCTCTCCGCCTGCTCTCCCTACTTCCAAACCCTGCTGGCGGAGACGCCCTGCCAGCACCCCATCGTGATCATGCGCGACGTCAACTGGTCGGATCTCAAAGCAATTGTGGAGTTTATGTACCGCGGCGAGATCAATGTGAGCCAGGATCAGATAGGACCTCTGCTCAGGATAGCCGAGATGCTGAAGGTGCGCGGCCTGGCGGATGTGACTCACATGGAGGCGGCCACGGCCGCTGCAGCGGCAGCCTCGGAACGCATTTCCTCGCCCAAAGAAAGTGGTGCGTCCACCGGAGGTGGAGGCCAGTCCAGGACCGAAACCGAGAGGGATACCGAGGAGCTGCTGGCCTTTATGCAGCCAGAGAAGAAGTCACGCACGGACTGGGATCCCGCAGAGCTGCGACTATCGCCCTTGGAACGGCAGCAGAGCAGGAATGTAAGGAAACGACGTTGGCCCTCGGCAGACACCATCTTTAATGCCCCAGCACCACCGAGTCCACTGAGCAGCCTGATAGCCGCCGAGCGGATGGAGCTGGAGCAAAAGGAGCGCGAGCGGCAACGGGACTGCTCACTGATGACGCCGCCACCCAAGCCGCCGCCGATGAGCGGCAGCAGCGGATCGGGCTCCCGCCGTCTCGAGTCAGCCATCCATGCTCTGGACATGCCCTCGCCGGCAGCCACGCCAGGACCGCTGTCGCGATCCTCGCGTCCCCACTCGCAGAGTCCCCAGCAGCAGTCCGGTCAGCATTCCCTACCATTGCCCCTGCCGCTGCTTCCGCATCATCATGCGCCGCCACCTGCCCCACATCCCGCCCAGAGTTCGGCCAGTGGCCACCACCCGCCTTCACCTGCGGGCGATTCCCGCTTTCCTTTGGGTCCCTCCGCGGCCGCCATGGCCGCTGCTATGGAGTTGAGTGGCCTTGGAGGTGGCCCACCTGCCGAGCCACGTCTTCCGCCTCCACCGCCGCACCATCATGGCGGCGGCGGAGTGGGCGTTGGAGTGGGAGGATCAGGGGTGGCGGGTTCCGGCGGAGGATCGTCGCTGGCCGATGACATGGAAATCAAGCCGGGTATCGCCGAAATGATCCGAGAGGAAGAAAGGGTGAGTGGAGCTTAATTTATCGATTTAAAAGGGATATAAGAGGGTGATAGATTATGGAATACTATATTATATTTACTATATTCCCCTGACCAAAGGACCCTATTGTTTCAAGTGAAATTTAATATATCACTGAATTTTAAATCACAAAAAATATGTTTAATTTATTAATATGAAGGATTTTTCTAAATGGTTCTTATATTAATGATTTCCCATTTATTTTATTTATTTCCCTCACATGATAAAAAACCAAAGTGTCCAAATAGTAAACGGTCAAAAATTCATTAGCAAAATATATTGCCTTATGAGATTAACTAATATTAATTTATAGAAAGAGATTCAATTCTTTATACTTTTGTTATTTTATTTTGTTCTTTCAAGAAATCCATTTAAGAGTTTAGTCCCACGATCACCTCTCTTTGATTTCAAATTAAACCCCTCAAAGAGTACAGTGGATCCTACAGGCCTTTTTCTCTTTCGCTGCTGCTGCGCTGCAGCAGCGCTGCTTCTCTCCCACACCCTCTATCTCTCAGTCACTCTCTCGCTCTGCCTCGCTCAACGATCTTTTTCCGCGGTTTGTTTTGATTCACGATTCGCGCGCGCCTTTCGGCGATCTGCAAGTTTGTTTCGCTTCGTCAGCAGAAATTCTGCCGGCGGCATTTCGAATCGTATCGTGACGTCACTTACAATGAGCGGAACGCAGAGCTGAGACTTCCCCCTCCTCGGCATTCGCAGCGCCTCTTGTTGGCGTCCACACCCAGGAATGATTGACAGCTCTCACGTGCTCCACGTCGCACATTGTTCCGCTTCCCTTTTCTGTTTTATTTTTCTTTTTTTTTTTTTTTAACTCAGGCAAGAGATCTTTGCCACATATTTTCCAGAATGGTCAGAGGTTTCCCACTCCAGATTTTCGATCCCCCCGATCCCCGCTTTACATGGGGCACTCACTGGAACGGAACGCCATGGTTTGGTGACCGAAAGGTGATTGAAATTCCGGAATTCTTGCGGCCTGCGGTTGATTTCGATCTATGGAGCATTTTGCATCTGTCTGTGGTTCCCTAAGTGTGCTTCAATTAGGCCAGAAGCGAATGAGATCGGAAAAATAAGTTTTAATGGTAGATATATTAGGGAAAAAATATTGGAAATTTTAAATTTAAATATTCAGTCGTTTGGAGATTTCAATACTTTAAACATAGATCAAAATAACATTATTCGACAAATAAAAACTGTAATAAAGGATTTAAAAATGTTTAATTAATTAAAATTCAAAATCTAAGAAACCATTTTCACAAATATTTATAAGATACAAATATCTCCAAGTGCACTACTCCTTAGTGAGGAGTAAAATTAGCGACCGGTTCGAGAGAGCTGCATTAGCACCGCAGAACTCACCGCAGAATTCGCACTTTAATAAAAAATTTGTATTTATTTATCCAATAGACGTCGACGACGTTCACTGGAGAACCCAGATCTCTTCTCCATTCAGAGGTTCCATAACCATATCCCTCCCCAGTCCCACATCAATCGGAATGCCATATTTGTTTGTCTGGACGCGCGAGACTCCTTCCCGAAGCTCTTCGCTGCGATCTTCTGGGCGATTCTCCGCCCAGATTCTTCTTCCCTCCGTATGCCCCGTGTTTATTGTCGCTTTTGAGTGCATTAATCAAATAGCCAAGGGGCAGGAGAGGAAGAACTTGAGGTGCTACGTCTGCATTAGCCTGCTCATATGCTCAATTTTCGAAGCGGCTTGTTTTCCCCACTTTTCCGAGCGTTTGCTCGTTAGCGTCTCTTTTCAATAAATATTTTGTTTTTATGCTTTTTTAAATATTTCCCCAACTGACCGTTTGCTTTGCTTTTTATGTGCTTAGAAATTCTTTGGAAAATGCATCTGCATCTGTGCATCTGCATTTGAATCCGGCAATCCCCGCTGTAAATGCATCTTTGTTTGTTTGCCTTGGTGTTAGTGTTTATGCTTTCCTGCTGTTTGCCTTTCCGATTGTTCTCCGCTTTCCCCTGTCCCCTATCCCCAGCCTCCTCCTCCACCTCCTCCTCCTCCTTCGCGTTTATTCACACATTTCATTTATTATTAAAAATTGATGCATTTTTCGTTTGCTTAGCGGCGATGCGATCGCCAGGCATCAAGGCAATGCCATATATAACAAGAAAGGAAGCTAACTTCGGCACGCCGAAGTTTGTATACCCTTGCAGATTGGTTTTGATGTTTATTTTATAGATTTAAATGCTGAAAACACTCACAAAACAGAGTTTCATTACATTTTACCTATACTTATTATGTTTACAGTTTGACAGTTACAGTTTTACATTCCCAGCTTTATATATTTTTACATTTACCGATCGCTTCTATGGCAGCTATAAGATATAGTTGTCCGATTTTTATGAAATTTATACCAAAATTCTAGAATAATAAAAAAAACTTATATCTCAGAGTAAATAAAAATGCGTTGAAAAACAACGAAGCTATAATTTTATTTCTATTAATTTCCCGATCGTTCCTATGGCAGCTATATCATATAGTCGTCCGATTTTCATAAAATTTTTACCAAAATTCTGGAATATTATAAAATGGCTATATCTCAAAAATGATGCAAAAATATTGAAAAACAGCCAAGTTATAATTTTTTTTCTAAAAATTTATCGAACATTTGTATGGCAGCTATATGATATAGTCGTCCGATCCGGCCCGTTCCGACATATATAGCAGTGAGAGCATATAGAAGACGATATGCAAAGTTTCATTCAGATAGCTTTAAAACTGAGGGACTAGTTTGCGTAGAAACAGACAGACGGACAGACAGACAGACGGACAGACAGACAGACGGACAGACGGACAGACGGACAGACGGACATGGCTAGATCGACTCGGCTGTTGATGCTGATCAAGAATATATATACTTTATAGGGTCGGAAACGTCTCCTTCACTGCGTTGCAAACTTCTGACTGAAATTATAATACCCTGCAAGGGTATAAAAATCAAATATTGACAGCCGACATCCTCGCCGCGCCAAAGGAATCCATTCCCAGCTTCTTTAATATTTATAATTCTTGCCCATTTATATATGCACTGGGAAAATTAAATAAGGGAAAAATAAATAACAAACATGAAAGGATAAAACTAATTCCAGTAGTTGCAAACGATATTTAAAAAGATTTCTTTAATATTTTTATTTATTATAAAGAAATCCTAGTATTTATTTTTATCTCAGTGCATTACCCTGTGAATGCATCTCTTTTTATTGTATGCGTTGATTTTATTTCCCTGTCTTTCCTTTCATATAAGCAGATAAAGCCGATAAGTGTCAGTCTTGGTCCAGAGTCTGAGCTCCGAGTTCTGGTTCTCAGTCTTCTTGGGGGCCTTTGCTTTCTGGTGATTAATTGCACTTTTATTTGTCTGCGTTTGCCTTTGTTGAAAATCATTTTTTTTCCTTTACGCATTTTTTTTTTTTGTTTTTCATATTTTATTGCCAACGCATTTAGATGTGTTTGTGTTGTGTGTGTGTGCATCATTAGAGGTTGTATATTATTATTGGTTTCCTCTCTCGCTTCTCGATCGGTTCACTGAACTTTTTGCGGAGCGTGGGCGCAGAGGAAGTTTTTATTACATACAATAAGGCGATTAAAACTCATTTCGGGCTAAAATATACTTTTTAAAATGTGTATTTTTATGAGAAGTATAAGTTTAATGAGAGAATAAGGTAGTTCAAAGAAGAAATTCTGAGAAGAATGGGTTTTAGAGGGTTAGGTTTTTGAATTGTTTTAGGTTTTAAAATTCTGAAACCAATAATTTTATTCAATTTTAAACGATTTTAGCTGTAGATAAAAGTATTTCAAGTACCTCTACCCATTTTCCTTTTTGTAAAAATTGAACTCCATCAATGTTCCGCTGATTGATCAACACAATCAATATCTGTAATCAATCCCTCATCCCGCAGAGTTTTCCCTTTCGATTTCCTTGCCACTTTCCTACTCAATTAGTCCACAGATGAGGGCCAAACCGCACCGTGGAAAAGGGAGGGTAACCGGGGGCAGTAAACAGAGGAATAAAGGAGAGAATCTCCGAGAGTCTCACACTCATGATTAGCGTGTGTCGCTTACCTTTTTCGATGAGGCAAAAACTGCAACCCAAACTGCCACAAAAAAATATATATATGCTGTAGACAAATTACCACAGAGTAAAAGGAAAAGGGAGTGCGGGGGGGCAGTCAGCAGCTAAACGTGCCACATTCAAACTACTTCAACAAAATACAGGAAAAAAGGTGAAGAATCAAGAAAAAAGGGAGCGAGTGGCGTGCATAAAAATTGAAAAAAGATGCAACTCAAAAAGGAATCTCGCATCTCGAACAATGCACTGAAAGAAATTAAGAGGGGAAAGGCTTAGAATATAAATATATAGATATAGATATAATAACTATACTTTCAGAGATAGTAAATGTTTTAGCTTTCCATTGAATTGAAAAATAAAAAGGATACAAAGAAATTTTTAAAAATTGTTCTTAGTTTATTTTTAGGTTTTCAAATATTTTCTTACATTATTTCTCTAAAACTAAATTAAAATTCTGTTAAATCTTTAAAACTCCCTTAAAATTCCCAATGATCCCTGCATTTTTTCGAGTGCCTTTGATGGCCCTGCCGGTGTTAGTGAGTATCTGTGTGAGTGCGAGCAAAGGAAGCCAACAAGCCACTTAACCCAATCGACAAAAGTCATTACACTCGTCACTCAGACTCAGCTGAGAATGCCCTCTGACGCTTCCGCTGTACGCCGGCTGCGACGCTGACAGCGCTGCCTTGGCCGACAGAGAAAATATCTCCGAGATACTTATTGTATCTGGGCATTTGGGCTTCCCGGGGTTTACCACACGGGGGTTGAATAGAATAAAATAATATAAATAATACAATTTATTATGTGACCCAGCATGTGTGCGTTTGTGTGTGTGTCTCTGACCCCGAGATACATTTGTATCTTTAAGCGCTGTAGCCGCTGCAT